CAAATAAACTTGCCTTGCCTTGCAAGAGGAGAAAAAAATACTCAAGCTCTCTGCAACATCTGCTTCAGGTTCAGGAAGGCTATGGACAGTCTATGGAGATAACATTTAAAGCGCTCTGTTTAAACTGCAGCTGGTGTCCCAACTCTAGGAATCCAGAAGTTTGATTTTATCCAAATTACAGTAGTCATTTCCATCGTGGTAGGCATGTAGATAAGAGGCTCTGAAGGGAAACAGGGGGGCTACATTCCAGGTGGCCTGAGATGTTTGGTAAGGGGACCATTTTCCGTTTGCTATTCCTGAAGAGTGTCAGACAGGTATAGTCACACGTACCAGAACTGATATGTTCCTGGATCTCAGAGTTAGACGTTATACTTTAAGGGACTGCCTTTAAAATGGCAATGGAAGCCTGATCCTTTGTCTAGGTGTGACATAAAGCACTTTAATGGAGAAAAAAATCATTGGCCTGAGCTATCTCTATAGTTATGCTGCTATAGGCTTAGACTTCTGGAGGACACAGGGACCCCTTTTTCATCATTCTGCTTCATTCTATCTCCATTTTCCCACTCTGCAGAATCTGTTAGCTCAATCTCTAACGTTCTGCTCTCTCTACTTTTTTTCACAGTAGCTTCGCTTCGTCTGTTCCTCATTGGCTGTGACAACAACCTGGAGAGAAATATCAGCTGTGTTGCTGCAACAAACATCTTTGTTTATAGACGTTGGAGATCAGCCTATTTTTTAGTGTAGTCATGTTTCTCTGACTGTGACTGGCTGGATGTTCTCTCTTCATCATCTGACATGGGAGCTGGCTAGGAGCTCGTCTGCCTGGCTGTGTGTTTCTTGGACAGGGCCACCTGTGGAGCTTGTTTACAGTTGCCTTTTGTATCTTTGCTTTTTTCTACATGTCTGCATCTGTCTCCTTGAACCCTAATTGGCCTCGGCTGCTCACACTGAGTCTGTGTCAAGTCAAAAAGTCAATGCAATCAACTGGTTTTCCTTATATAGAAAACTTTGAATCAATTTGACTGTATGATCTGGTGAACTGTAAAGTGCCTTGAGATGACGTGTTTTAAATTGGTGTGATATAAATAAAGAGAACTGAATTAAAAAATGAAAAGACTATTTCTTGTCTTCTTGGAGACTTTGGTAAAAACATTAATGCACAGATCACACCAAGTTTATCGTCCTCAGTGAGTGAGCCCCCCTCCTCCAAAATAATGAGGGAGTCAAACGCAGTAAATGCAGCCCGTTTCTGCAATCAAAGAGAACAGCAACTCTGTTTACCCGATGAAAATGAATCACATGCACAAAGCTCCCACTGCCCCCCCCCCCCCCACAATATATTAAAACTTGAGATGTAAAAACTAAATTTCATGTATTCACTGCATCTGTTAACTGTCATCAAGGTAAATTTGATATAAAGGAATACTGATCAACAACAATCAAAATACAATTTTAGGACCATATGTTCCCTTAAAGGAGGTGATGATATTCACAATGTCCTAAGAAGAGATCTTCAGCTCTAAAGCTCATCATGAACCATCAGCTGCAACAATGAGAGGCACAGCATGGCAGTAAGTTGACCGAAATAATGGCATCACTGATATAACCTGACCAATATGGAAGACCAGGCTGCATCTCATGCTATCGGCTGATTCCACTTCAATGTCACTTGTCGATGTTCCGTTGGGCAAAGGACTAAACCCCAAGTTTCCTACCGATCTGCATGTCAGGATGAATGTGTTTGTGATTAAATGAATGTAAGCATTTTGAGTGGTCAGTTTCAGCTTTAGCTCTTTTGCCATTAAAGTCGTAGGGAAATGGCTGTTCCAACCGTTGCATTTCCGAATTCTCCCGAGTGGTGCACGACTTTACACGAGTAAATAAAGTGAATGTGATTGGTCAATTATCAAGGGGGTGGAATTGTTGTGGCGGAAGGTTCGCAAGCAAGTTTGATTGTGGCCGGTTTCTAGGAAGCGTCTTGCTAACCAGTTAGCAACTTAGCGCTAGTAGGTTCCCAATGGGAAATTCCATTGGGACCAAGTAGCACTAAATTGCTAACCAGTTAGCAACTTAGCGCTAGTAGGTTCCCAATGGGAAATTCCATTGGGACCAAGCAGCACTAAATTGGTGACTTAGAAACGACACTGTCAAGGAACGCTATGGACAGCGGAAAGAGGAGGAGAGTTCGTGGATAAGTCTCCTCATACATTTTTTATTTAGAGGAGGAAAGTTGGGACGAAGATGTTGCGGAAGAGGATGCCAGGGCGGCAGAAGCTTGGTTTGGTGTAGAAGGCTTCCAGCCGTACATGTTTGAGCCCTTGCCTCGCAACGCTGCCAGTTCTGTTAGCTCTACGCCTGCTGAAGACAAAGACGTCCATCCCCGTGAACACTGGGACGGAACTCAGTGGGAAAGTGAATGATCATTATTTCTTATTTCAGCTGTTGCGCATATTAGCTTCAACATATGAAGATGCTATGACTGAAAAAAATTTGATTGACAGATGACCGTTGATATATGATTGGCCAAATTTAGGTGTTCATGCTGACGTAGAACTAACTGGCCTGTATTAAATAACACAACAAAAAAAAGATTTTAAGACAGGATTTTTTTTTAAATAGAAATTTTCTAACTTTTGGGACAATATTGTCTGATAAAGAGTATATTAATATACATGTTTAAGCCAGAATGATTTGAAATTTAAATATGACTTCTCTAAGACCTTAAAGCTACAGTGTGTAATAATCACTGGGATATACAGTCAGAAATGTAATATATTATACATAACTATGTTATTTATCATCATCTACGAGCTCAGCCTCTTAACCTTAATATTTGCGTTGCCTTAGAATTCGTTATTTATAATTACATAGGAGCGGGTCTCGCAGCCATGGAGGCAGACATCTTTGCGCTACGGCAGCGCAGAGCCAACAAACTAGCGATTGCGAGATCGCCCATTATGCTCGAAAGTAACTACGGCAAGTTGAGAGAGATGAACTGAGACGGTACTGAACATTAGATGGCAGTATTATGCCTGAGAATACTATCTGTAAAATTATC